CTTGTAGTCAAATTTATTCACTGCTACTGCCATATGCCGTGGATTATTGGTAGGACAAGTGTGCAAATTACGGTCATCTTCCGGAAGAAGGTCCACATCATGGAACAGATAACATTGCCATTTGTAGATTTTGTTGGCCTCCATAAATCCAACATTAAGAACTAAACGACAGATCATTAGCCGACAATGAGGTTTGTCTAGTTTCTCAAGAGTTTCGAGGGCTCAGATAAATCCCCAAATAGCCCACGTGTTGTTAAAAATTTCACAGGCTAAAATATTGCACAACCACGTATTTGTCTGAGTTACAGCGAATTGCAAAATATCTGGTATAGTACATCTCAAAGCTTGTTAACTCGAACGTGTGATCTTCTGAGCTAGAATAAATGCAATAATTTACCTTAGCTCGATTAAACGTTTGATTTTCGATTTGCTCCACCACTATAATGGAATAGTCCAACTTTTGTTTTGTGAGGAATCGGTGCATATTATTCAAAAGTATACGAAGGTGAGATTGCCTGTCCCGATACGGAACGATTACTGCTATCTATAAAGGCAAATTTAGTAAGGGCTAGAGGAAACGATTGATTACCTCAAGAGTGTTGTTTCAGAAATGCTCCAGTCTCACAGTAACGAATACCGCTGCTTTTCAGTCTGCAATTGCTTGTTCAACTAGGGCTAAATCTGCAGAGGTGTTCAGTGAGCATCGATATCTGCAACCTGTTCAACGTCCGATGTGATATAAAATTGTAGTTGCCTTACTTCTACCAAGCTAAGCTATTTGATGGAGCCTTTATACGTGTCGTGCCTAGGTGCTAACAAGATGATGGCACCGGCCAAGAGCGCCTGCGTCACGTTAGAGCGTGGAAAAATGCACGGCCCACACCCTTTAAGGTAGGGAGGGAGAGGGGGGGGGGGGGGCAACCGCGCACGCTAAATGCTTTCACTGAACCTGCGCGGGTCATGAAAAAAGCAGCGCCCTTGCGATGGCGGAGGTCCAAGCCGAGCAGCAAGCCAACAAACTACCAGGCCGAGACAGTAGCGGAAGGACACACCAGCTTTGAAGACATTCCTTATAAAGGAAGGGTTTAGTAAAAGCACGAACAAAGAAGAGCTTAAAGTAAGCAAAGCATGGGATGACAAAACAATTAGTATTGTAATTCATTAGCAATATTTGTGAAGTAATACAGAGAGAGGGAGAACATTAAAAACAAACAGAAAAGAATATTGGAAGAAGAAAACACTCCGGTTGGCCAAACACAGATGGTCCGTTACGCCTGTTATCCCCAGACGAACCATTATTGTCTCGGAAACCCCCAGAGATACCTGCAGACTATAGAAAACGAGGAGCCTAGGAGAAGAGAAAGTGGTACGCAGCTGATCGCTTGTGACAGAGGAAGACCCGCGGATATGTGTCGTGATGGCTGTGGAATGGTGACGCTGTTTCCACGAGCGCCCGAGGCGAGCGCTTAACGCCGACTGACTTTGGTTAACGAAAGTGGAACTCACCCTAGGTGCGGCTTCCCGCGCTTCATGCATTTCAGGATAGGACTCACGGGAGCGCTGGTTCCAACCGGCTCGCCATTAACCGACGAGACGGTCGGGCGCGATTCACGACATTCGAGTTTCAATGTATTTTCAATGAAACAAAATGATTGTGATCGTCAAATAATTTTAGAACTCCCAATCGCGGAGCTGACTGCATAGGAGCTAGAACATGTGTAGCTTGAAAAGTCGTCAACGGGAGATCGTATTCGCCTCTCCTCGCCCAGTGGCAGAGATTTCAGAGAATTCGGTAAAGTGGTCAGTCGGTTGTTGAAGGTTTTCAAACCACAGGAGGAAATCCAGAGGCGAAATCGTATGTGACAGAAAGTTCCTTATGCTGAAAGGTACCCGAATCGAGGACTTTCCACTGTCGAAGTTTCTATAGCACAGCAACGACGCTGATCGAAAGATCGCCCGAAATTTTTCGAAAATTGTGTGTCGTATAAAGTGTTCGAGTGATTAAGGTGCTTTTCAACTGCTCCTATTCTAGCAGAATGGAATCCTCCACGGGATTTACAATTGGGGAATGAATTACTTTTTCCCGTCGTAAACTCAGTGGAGGCTGGTTCCTAGGAATGGCGCGACGCCAGCCCCTTTCTCACCAGTGGCCGGAAGACGGGCTGACGCCACGCGATTCAGCTCCCTGACATGCCTCAGCGTCTGCAGAGAAAGCGATTATGTTTACTTGCTAATCCACAGTCACAAATAAATATAAAAGATGTTTCGACCACTTACACGGTTCGCAGCCCGACAATCGTCCGGAATATTGTGACCACCTGGCTCCAAGTAATTGTACATCTCCTCCAACTGCTCCAAAGGGATTTCTTCGAAAGATACATTTATTCGGCCGACGAAATGGTCCGAACTTAATGAGCACTGTGGAATATCAGTAGCTCCTTCGGAGCGAGTAAATGAATATGGATCTGAAAGCTCCATTCTGGAAAACGCCTGCATTCTTGAGGAGTGTGACGCAGCTTCCAGTTCCACTCCTGCGCTCTTTCGAGCGATGAAAGTGTCACAGTTCTACTGTTATTGAACTGCCCAACTCGCGCATGGGGAGGCTCACTTAAATCCTATGGCTATCGTTCAGCTAGCTTCCCAGATGGCTATTATATTCCCTTCAATTCTCACGCAAGGAATGAGAATAGGAAGATTTGGCTATGATAGAGGGCACTGGCACGTGGATTGCCTCTGTACGTGGATTGCCTGTGGGAGTACAGATTACAGCAGCATCAGCGAGAATTCAGTGTAGGAATCCCTTTTGAGAGTTTGTAAAACCAAATAGACGCTGTTCGGCTCGTGGTGGCGGAGGCACTTCTCTAGTTTCCTTTCGCTAATTCTTGTCAACTTGCCCATCTCACCATCACACCTGGAGACTCTTGTCCTGTAAAATGCTCGTGGTGTTGCATAGCCATTCTAGGGTTGGCTCAGACTTCGGCAATAATCGACAAGAACCAGCAGAATGCCCCCAACAAGTGAAACTGCGCCTCTCCGAATCTACAGATATCAGTATCTTCCACCATGACTGTTTTCCTCCGTTCTCACCCATTTCACTTCCACTTAGTCGCAGTGAGAGTTACGCCGTCTTTGCGCAGTGAGAGCGGCACGAGTACCTTGTGCTAGGACTTCCAAATTTTTGGCTCAAAAACATGGCGATAGCCTAAGATCGTGAGAAGCTCAATAAGCAACGTACATGTTAATGGTAAAGTTGGTGATGATTGGTTGGCAAGCACTAGAGTAGTCTGACTTCTATTCAGCCCCGAAAGTGGCCTAGTCGAGTAATCACGAATTTGTAGCGTCGGGATCACAACTGCGAGCTGTAATACGATTAAACTGGCTTTGACGGTTCTGAAGATGACCCATCTGAAGCAGGGCACGTCCTCCGTTGGGTAACTTTTTGCAGAACAGATCCTTTCCTTCCAGTGACCGAATATGACCCCCTCGCCAGGGACCTCCAGCGGACGACGTGCCCTTATGGGGAGAAAAGTGAACAAAACCCACTTCAAATATTGCAAAGAAAACTCCTGCAACTAAAATGACTAAAAATATTCCTTGCTTGCGGGAAAGCTGATAATCGGCAAATTTCGGCAGCAACATGGCGCTCGTCTGAATCAAGGTCGATAAATGGTACTGCAACGAATTCGTTTGAATCCATGAAGAAACGAAAGCGTATAATCGCTCTGCACCAGCTTTACACTTTTGCTGTACTTCAGCCCGTGTTTGTTTCAGGGCACACCGCGCTGAAGAATCTCCAACGTAGGGTTTTATCCCGTCACCGGAGGAGAAGGGATCCCATTAAGCCTGAGGAACCCCGAAAAGTGATAGGAAGTTGGGAGACAGACCAAATCTTACATGAGGGCAGAGTAGAGCATTATTGTGCGAAACCCATCGGGGAGTCGTACTTGGCCGCTGGGGAAGGGAAAGGGGTCATAGATGTAGGGTCGGTGAGCACCCAGCACACGAAAGTGTCACCGCTAAGTTTGATGGAGCGGACGGAAAGCTGCAGAGGACCGGATGTGAAGAAGACTACAAAATATTAAAACAATTGATTAGCAATATCAGTAGTTAGTATGAACTTGTAAGTACGTAGCCAAATTCTCGATCGATCTTTTGAGTTCCTCACAATGTCGCCCCAGGGAGCCCATAAAAACCCGGTCGCGATTTGCCGCAAGCGCGGCCGTAACCCATCCAAAATATTTCACAACGGGGGAAGATTCAGGTTGCTGGTTGGTATAAAACGCAATCTTAAACGCAAACAGTAGAGACATTGCTAACATGCCGCCTTCCGTTCCAAAGCCCAACACCTAGAAAAGCTATCACTTCCAGCAAAAGCCCCACGATACCTCCGGCCAATAGATCTGCTCCAGCGCTAGTCTGCCACGGAAGCATATCATGGCCGCAAGCGCTTGCGAATGTTACGTACATAATCCTTCTCGTTAGAGCAAACAATGAGAGCTGGATAGAAGGGGGAGCGGGTCGTTCCAGTATCCTTTTACGGGAGGGGGTCATACTGACACCTCCATGCGCACATCACGATGCACGATGCTGTCTCCTGCGTTAGGGAATCTACAGCAGAGACATCGTATCTGGTCTAAGAAAATTTGTTGGTGGTCGATTTGTCTTGTTCCACGGGTATGGGGCGTCATATTTGCTCGTTGTTGGAAGGATTTCGTATGTGCCTCTCTGAGGCGTTGAATATCCCTAGCGCGTTGTTGACTTTTCTCGGTTTTTCCCATTTCACATGTGCTATGTATATACCCCATCCTCGGCTCGGCAACAGAATTCTGGGGAAAATTAGAAAGCTTTCGGGTAATTCAGTAAACTGGAAGAAGTGGTAGGAAGCTGGAAGAATCTGGGGATTGGTAGGATGGTGAAGGGGAGGGGCCTCGCATTAGAGAAGGGAATTAAGGGGGGGGGGGGGTATTTTCCGAAAAATTTCTTCAGCCACAGGACGTGCCCTGTTGGGGGATTTTAGTAAGACGATCGCATGGTAGATTGGATGCGGAAAGGCGCTTGTAAGAGAAGAGTATTTCGCAAAAATCTCCCGAGCGACAGGACGCGCCCTGCTTGCCGATCAATTTTTCGTCCGTCTTTTTTTTGATAAGTTTGAGCCCCCTAATGAGTTGCCTGGGAGGAGTTGCAAGTTTCGAATCCTTGAGTAATAAAGGAGAAAGTTTGAAAGTCTAAGTTTCACTGTTAATCAATCCATTAGTAGGATACGGCACGCATTCTACTTTCATTCATGATCGTAGTGGCTTAATGAATGCGATGTATCCTACATGATGACTTGCAGGGTTCAGCCGATGCACAAGTAATGTTCTTATCCTCACAGACGATCAGGTACCAATTTTTAGGGTAGAAGGCTCGGTTGGCCTGGCAGGGAGTCGACCCGGAATTGATGTGGTAAGCGCGCTACTTGTGACCACACCGCCTCCACTCAGAACGGAATTATGGATTTTTTTCCATTCTTCCTCAATGAGTCCCAGCTACATTTGAATATCATAAAAAAAACATTAATATGAAAAAGCGATAGCATGGATCGGAAGCAGCACTGAAGATTTAGTGTGAACGTATGGACACGGAGAGCATGAGCAGGTATTCCCCTTTCAGAAGTCATGGTCAACTCGAAAATGGCAAGAGGCGTCGCTTAGCACGCGCGTGGTCCATAATCGATTTCCAGGGCAGTTACCGGTTGAACCAACCAAGAGTTTCATCAAGGAAAAAGAGAAGAACACGCATAACAACACGATTTCCATGACCGTTCACCATGTGCGCTAAAGACTAACCCCAGGGCTGTAAGTTGTGGCTGGCAGAACTGTGCAAGTCCTTACCGAACTGCAAAAGCTTGAAGACAGCCCCCGCGCTCAAGTAGTACATGGTCATCCTTCCTTGTGCAAGTAGTACAGCCCCAAGCTAGAAACTGTCCCACTCTCGCGACTCCACAGCGAGCGAGGAGCTCGCTCAGCTGGGCCGCCTCACTTGCTAGATGCCCTCCGACGGAGGGCCGCTCAGTTGTTCTTTGTTGGGGCGGCGGGCATTAATCGGCATTCATGTCCTTTTCGCTGACCACGCTCGTGCCCATGAATAATTCTGCTTTCCTTTATTACATTTTATTCATTAGCAGCACATACAGTCAACTTCATCCCATCTCGCAAGGTAAAACGCGTAAAAATCACGAGCGACCCAAAGCGCCAGGTGCGTGGTGCAAAAGCTCGACGCACTAAACACACTAAAAGATGCACGCTACCGCTACCCTTAATTCCCAAGTTTTTGAAGGTGTATTTTCCTTTTCAAGAATTTTTCTTCCGTGTTTTTGTTGTTTTCCGTATTCTTTTTTTGCATTGGATGATATCCACTACTGGGAGATGTGATAAAGGGATTTGTGAGCCAGGGGTTGCACAGAGACCGCAGGGCTGTGTGACTGGGGCGATCTTGTTTATGGTGTTCTTGAGAACTCTTCTTGCTTTTTCTCTTCTTTGGAGAATTACTTATCAGCTACTGTTTCGTAATTAAAGAGCAACTATCTATGACACTTTTATCGCTTTAGCTGTCTTTGAAGATGAAAAACTTCCAGCGAAGGGGGGAACCTAGTGAACCAGACCAGCATCAAATGAACATCGAAAGTAAGGAGATTTAGTTGTGGTTCATGTGTATGCTGCAGAGACCTCAAGTAATGCAGATGATTTGATAAAAGCCTTGTAGTAGAAAAAGACAGGAGGCTTCTAGGAAGTGCTGGTAATGCAAAGAAAGCATGTCAATTCCCATCATAACTTCCAGCTCAAAACGGCAGCGGA